CGTTCCGAAGGGGAAGGTCATGACTCCATAAGCAAGTCGAATTCAGTTAAGCTTTAACCTAGCATAGGTTAAGAGGCAAATACGATAAGGGAAGTAAAGTAAACTAAAAAGGAAAGTTCCTAATACATATACCGATGATGTTTGTATCCTATGAACTATTATGACGTTGATTATGCATGTTATATCTTGGATGCCGTATGATTGTTGCCAAGCATGTTGTGTGCATGATATCATGTGATAATTGTGAATTAGTGGGTTCGCCAATGTGTGTGTTCGAACTGTTAGATATTTCTCACTTAGCTTCAATGCTGAGCGTGTAGCCCTTTTTCCTATTTGCTACACGTAGGTGGTTGTGGAAGATTGATTCTGGAATCCATCCCGGAGGGCAGCATGACGGAGGAGATGTACGGATGCAGGGATTTAATGTTTGACTTAATTATAAGGTTTCCGCACTGTTTGTATAAACTCCGATATGTATTTAAATGATTTTGAATTGTTTGGGTTTTAAATTAAATGTTTTAATTTATTGGAAAATAATGTATGTGGATACCAATTTAGTAGCAACCCAGTTCGCTAACCTATTTATTCGGGTTATGCGGGTTGGGGTGTTACATTTTGGTATCGGAGCATATGGATTTAAAATCGGTATTCAGACCATTGCAAAGTACTATTTTGGAAATAAATAAGTGTAAATAGCGTTATTTTGATAATAAGAACAATGGCAAAAGTTATTCTGAGTACTACATCCGCATCCTCCACGTCAGCTTTGCCTCCCGGGAAGGTAATAAGTTATTGTCTTATTGCTTAAATGTTTGTATGGAGCTGATTGCTCAAGTCGTTTGAATTGAACTGATTGTTTGAATAGGTGTTTTGAGCTGATTGCTCAAATATTTGTATGAATCTGATTGCTTGAATGTCTGTGTCAAGTTGACTGTTGGAATATCTGTGTTGAGCTGCAAATTATTGACTACTGTGCATACTGAAATGCGATAGTGTAAGATAGGAATTCACATCCTGTAGATGGAACCTACTTACTTTAAGGTGAATGTTAGCATAAACTCTGACGACGAGATGCTAGGTAACAAAAAAAGAGAATGTAAAAATGTACTCATAATAAAAGATTATGTCTAATATTCGATTATCCCATTTGATCACTGGAATGGTTAACCAAATTCTGAAGGGGCTGCAGACCTGGATGGATGAGGGTATCTTATTTTGGTATCAAACGGTGATGACCGTATAAAGGACAAAGAGAACTTGTTTGATTAATAAAGAAAGCAATACTTACCACCAGCACACCACAATGTAGCGATGTGGTTGGATACAACCAAAAGAACGTCATGAATAATCTATCTAGCAAGACGCGACGTACCGACGCACCTTGATTGACAGGACGAAACGAATGAAGCAGACTCGAAAGAAGTTAGGACATCGACACGTAGAGATGTGTTTGATCGATAGTGGGTGCACTGTTGAAGGGCTCCTGACTAGTTACAAAGTCTAATTAGCAGATATTAGCAACACTGATGGTAATTGTGGTGACGTTAGTAGAACGCTCCACTTACTCTCGTTAGTGTGATAAAAGAATTGTTGAAAAAAAATATAACTTTAATGAACCAAGAATGAATTAGTTTAATCCCGACTATGCCATTGAAGATTTTAGGTTACGACTCGCGAAGGGTGAATCTACTCCTAGATTGATGAATGCACTTAATGTCGAATATGTCACTATTAATGTCATGTCAATAAATTGAATGCCACATGAAACTTTGGGACGAACCCCTGAATACGTGCCAATAACATGAAGTTATGATATCACTACGTACCGTTTGAAAGGAGTAAATCGTGATAATCTTGAATACTGAACTACATCGAGTATGCTGACCATGAACGAACCATCGAGGGTACAAAGTAGAAGCAAACACGAACACAACGAACGTGCGTGACGCAACTTCATGTAGACACTCCATCCGAAAGATTGCAATTGCATCCCGACGTGACTTGAACGCAAAGAATTGGTGTGAAGAATCTCGTTACTAACACCACGTAAAATACTCATGCTCTGTAGAGCGTACGATACACTCCCAGGGACATGACGACAAGGGTACGCCGTACACCGGACGAGATTGTATATCGATAATCATCGATGCATAGAACTGACAAACCAAACACGAAAGAATACAAATGACGACGACGAATGACAATCGTATAGTGCTGACGAGTGCAGTGTGTGACCGTTAGACGACATGTACGAAATCTGATTAGACAATTAACACCATGTGAGCCACTAATCGAATATATTGAGCGAACGCGAGAGATGGATGACGCGCCAAGGAACGACTGTAGCTACGACTTTTGACAAAGTACCCTTGACGTGGAAATCAAACTTGCAGATGATGGATGAATCATGATGAAACTTGTCCCGCAAGAAACGAGCCGACAACTAACTATTTGATGTGCGACATCTCTCGAATTTAATTACGAACGTATGTAGATCGTATAATGAAGGGATCCGAAAGACTTGCTCGAGAAATGCATCAAAGACGGATGATCCTTAGAAAGTAATTCGTGAAACCCCTTGTCGAATGTGTGTGATTGTACAAACGTTGGGTTTGAAGATCGTGACAAACGAACAACTAATATTCCTAAACTGTTAAGTCTATCTGTAATCTACATTTGTATGTTCACTGTTTGTTCTTCACTTTGACCCATTGATGCTGGTCAAACTTCTACACGTGAATGGAGATGGTATCTACGTAACGAACTGACAAAACTTCATTCCAAAATCAAGTGTTGACGTACCTGTGAAGATAGTAATGTCTTGTGTGGGAAGAAGTTGATGTAATAATGTTGACTTCGTCTTTTTAAACTCGTACTGTGTGAAACATCGAACTTAAACATAATAATGAATTTGTTTTAAATAAAATGCATTTATGAAATCATCGTGATCCTACTAAACCAGTCTGAATATCTATGCAACCTATGGAGGAAATTCGCTAAAGATCTCAATGATGAAGATTTTATTCTATCCACTAAGACACGCGTACGTATGAACAAAAAAATGGTGTCGTATCTCGTCACCTAAAGTATTGAGATCACCGTTACCGGATCGCGCGAAGAATCAGTGATGAAGACTGTTATGAGTAAACTAGTGAAATTTTCTAATAATCGAATTCCTAAAACGAAAATTCGTAATTTCTAAGTACCTCGGCATTGCCAAAAAGAATCGTGGACGTAACCACAGGTTGAAGAATCTTCTTTCTGCTCAGAAAGAGAGACGTTGATAATATACGATCGAATTAGTTGCCATTAAGAATATATCTTGTTATAGACTCGAGCAAAACAAACGAATACGCTAATGACGCGCAAAGACTGTCGAACATGAATAACACTCAAACAGTAATTCGTTTTATGTAGACATTAGTAGTTGACTCCACTTGTGAGATAACCATAGGTGTAAAGTGACAACATCATGAAACTGACCATGATGATATGCTACATGAATCGTGACGGGATAGCGCGATAGGGAAAATAATGACTCGAGATAGACTTGTGAAACGCCTTCTAATGCCCGAAGAGCCTGACAATGAAACAAACTTCCCCAAAACGCAATTGTCGACCATCCGAAGGGCATGAACGTTACCACCATTCTGTTAACCAACGAGAAATCCGAGAAGACCGCATGTTGACGTCATAAGCTAACAAAACGAATGAACTTCAAATGCAAACTGAATGATCGACCAAATTACCGACACTACGATATCTGGAAGTTTAAATATTGTTTATACACACTATGGAGGTACTCCATCCAGATCCGTTAGAATCAAACTCTAGAAAGACCAAATTGTGAACTCGACAAACTTTTCAGATTGCTTGAATGGAACACAAATACAAAACCCCTACGATAATACCTCAAATGATTAATGAAGAGAATTCCCCTGGGAATGGCGTTGCCATTCACCTAATCATGATCGTAACGCGAATGTGAAACCCAAATCATTGAAGTTTGTACCTTAGAAGAAATTCGGGGACGAAATTCCTTTAAGGGGGGAAGAAATGTAACGCCCAGAAAACCGGTCTAGAAGTTATTCGCTAATTAAACAAATAAGAATTATTTATTTACGACGATCTATTCTTTTAAAGAATTAAAGGAAACTTTAGAGATTATAATCGTCTCAATATAACGAAACTAATCTGATTATATTTGTAAAGATTTAAATTAAAGGATCGATTGGGACTAATTAAACAAAAGAATTAAGACGGATCTAGTGGAACGTATAAATGTTTGTCAATTGAATATAAAAGTTATATCATTGGGTAGGGATCGATGAATCGAATCCAACGATGTGAACGGATCTCAATTCGGAGCAAGTTGGCCCAAAAAGTGTGTTTTACTCAGACACGTTATTTTAAATTACGGAGCACAAAACCTAAGTTTACAAATACTCCTACGCAACCTTATTCTCGATTCTGGTCCTCGATTCAGCGCCGCGAAACCAAAACCCAGTCACCGTCCTTCTTCGATCGCAGCATGCGACGACACCGGCGAGCAATCACGGGCGACGACGGTTAGGTAGGGTTGGCGATCACGTGGCTACCCTTCTTCTTCCCCAATCGAACAACGGTGGGAGCAATCGGGATTGGCTCTTTCCGGCGTAGACCTCAACCCGCGATTGCGACTCGTAGCAGTTGTCGCGAAGGGCGACTGAGCAGAAACTCTGGCGATGCGCAGTGGCGATCGACGACTTCTCTCCGGCGACGGACAACTGCGGTGACCCAAAAACTCCGGCGACTTCCAGGCCATGAAGGTTAGGTTCGGGCAGTGATTTTTTACCATGGACAGCGGAAGGTGAGACCGAGCAGCAATGATAACAGATCTGGGCGGGCTTGCTCGGGCAGCAGTACTGGACTGTGCAGTAGGGCACGGGTGACTCCGTTCAAGTAAAGTTCTCCCTTTAATCAAATTGAAGGAAACGAGGTGAGTACGTGGACATCTAACACTAGAATATGCATCTAGGTTTGAAATTCTGTTCATAATTGTTATCGCGGTTGATCTGTGTGATTTATCTGTATAATTGTTGATTGTGGTTTTGGGATATGTTGTTGTTAAACCAAAAAGGGTAGTATGCATGAATTAGGCGTTGATTGATGAATTGATGTGCTTGATAACGTTTAGAACGTTACTACGAATATAATGGTGTTTGTTGATTATGAGATTGTTGTTGGTTTGATGCTGAAAAACGGAACAGGTATGAATATGGAATTGGTTGCATCAGACGGTAGGCGGTACCGCCAGGTCGGTACCGTGCTACCGTCACACGCTGTTTGGTTATATCTCCTCTGTTCGGCACATTGGTACTGGACGGACGGTAGGCCCTATCGCCGGGTCGGTAGTGGCTACCGTGACAGGGCTACCGGCTGGGTTCAGTTAGTGAGGACGGTACCCCGTACCGTGACAGGTACCGTCTGGTACCTGAATGGATTAGTGGCAAGGTATGCCGTAAGTATAGTAAGTTAGAGCCATGTGGTACCTGCTGGGTCCAATGGCTGTTCAGGTAAAAACGTGTACATGGGGATCTAAGAACTGTCGTTCCGAAGGGGACAGGGATCTCACCCACCCAACAAGGAACTCCCGAGTTGGTTTGAGCTTGGCCTTCGTTCCGAAGGGGAAGGTCATGACTCCATAAGCAAGTCGAATTCAGTTAAGCTTTAACCTAGCATAGGTTAAGAGGCAAATACGATAAGGGAAGTAAAGTAAACTAAAAAGGAAAGTTCCTAATACATATACCGATGATGTTTGTATCCTATGAACTATTATGACGTTGATTATGCATGTTATATCTTGGATGCCGTATGATTGTTGCCAAGCATGTTGTGTGCATGATATCATGTGATAATTGTGAATTAGTGGGTTCGCCTATGTGTGTGTTCGAACTGTTAGATATTTCTCACTTAGCTTCAATCCTGAGCGTGTAGCCCTTTTTCCTATTTGCTACACGTAGGTGGTTGTGGAAGATTGATTCTGGAATCCATCCCGGAGAGCAGCATGACGGAGGAGATGTACGGATGCAGGGATTTAATGTTCGACTTAATTATAAGGCTTCCGCACTGTTTGTATAAACTCCGATATGTATTTAAATGATTTTGAATTTTTTGGGTTTTAAATTAAATGTTTTAATTTATTGGAAAATAATGTATCTGGATACCAATTTAGTAGCAACCCAGTTCGCTAACCTATTTATTCGGGTTATGCGGGTTGGGGTGTTACAAAGACCGCGTTGAAGAAAACTCTGGTGTCGTCATTAATATATATCCTTATTTGATAATTTATAAAATTATCCATGTACTGATCCAGGATTTGCACTATCTAATATCTATATAATTCCATGTTGAATAAAGCTTCGTTGGGATTGAAAACTCAAGGATTTCTTAATAAAGAATCATTTGATCAAGTGTTTTCTCTTTGAATACATATTTCGTTCATACGCAAATACAGAAGGATCGACGACTCTGTATGAACTATCGTCAATTGAACAAATCCTTATCTTTTACTTTGTATCATGACTTATTTGATAATCTTAGAGGGTTCATTGTGTTCTCTAAGATTGACTTACGGTCAGGATACTAACTATTCTCTGTTAGGAAACTTGAACAAACTGACGATCAAGAATTGCTACTTCTTTGAAATGGACTCATTTGTATGCGCTATTAACATGAAAGATCACGACGTGGTGATGATACAAAACAAGACAGTGACACCAACAGTGAAAGACTGAATAATGAAGAAAATGTAGCTCGCACTAGCCATACAGCCTAAGAGAATATTTATGGATAATATCATTGCAACACAAGATACAACTTGAATTACAAGAGGAAAGTTACAGATGCAATTCTAAGTCTAGTCTTCCAGGATTCACAAACTCATCGTAACTAACCCCTGGACCCGGGAAAGCTTTAGCAAACTCTAGTTTGTCTAAAAGCTCATCAACAAAGAAAGAAGAAATGAAAAGTTTCCTCTCACTCAAAGACATGAAGTTCTGCCTTAACGCATCGTCTAGAAATTTGATTAGGTTATTGAAATAACCGTCAATGTTCAAGAGACCAATGGGTCTAGTGTGTAACCCTTTAGAAGCCCACGAGATCAAGGTGAACAAACCTTCCATAGTGTCAACTCCTCCAGGAAGAACGATGAAAGCTTCCACGGCATGATTCATCTCAAAATATTTGTAGCAATTACTGGAAACTGTGTGCTCTACACCGTACGTAGGTCCATAGACCCGTCGTGTTGCTATGTACCCAGGAATGAAACCTCTAACGAGACCACCATTGGTAAAGACTGTTGAAGCAATAGCTCCTTGAAGGCCAACACTACCTCCTCCATAGGCAAGTTTAATCTTTCGCCTTATCAATTCTCTTCCTAAACCTACCGCAGTAGCCATAAACTTTGGATTTATACCAAGAGAATGACTACCAAGTAGACCAATGAATCTTATGGTGTAAGGAAGTGTTCGAGAAGTTCCTTCCATAATGTGAGAATGTGAGATACTCTTTCCATAATCGTGTTATATATAGTCTCTAAAACCAGACCATTGATGGAAAAGTATTTATCACCAGCCAAAATACATACAGTAAAATGGATTCAAATTACTTGCAGACGAGAACATACTCGCTAATACTATAGTCTGTTGACGATATGACGTATTGAGACTCTTGAACAGTTAGATTCGCTGTCCTAAAACACGTTCAAATCCGAGACGAAAAGTCAAAACGGCTATTTCCTAAGAGAGCGACATTTTTGAGTGACTTCCAAAGACTGAAACATTAAAGGATGAAAACCTACGATTAGTGACGATAATTCTCCAATGCTATCTTTGTATCTTTTGACTCAGCTCATACCCTTGAAATACTCAAATTTGTTGTGTCAATTATATACTTGAAACATCCCACTTGATCAAACGATTCAATTCCATTAAAATACTAAACCATTGAGAACTTTTCTTAACTCAACAAGATGCGCTATACCGATCTTTGAAAACTACACTCTGTGAAATACGTGACTCGATCGCAATAGTAAACTACCCTGACTTGATCATTATGTTAAACCTCTCTATGTGAACCACAAAACAATTAATGTCATTACGTTATCTCTAAAGATTATTATCGATGATCTCATTGATCAGACAAACTCCGTTATGACCCTAGCAAGGGAATATATGTGCAATAACCGTAGAAGAAATGACATCACAAGGATCAAGCTAAAACTCCGAATCTATACGTATAATTGGTGTAAAAACTCCTACGATTCCTTACTCTTTGAATTCGTGAACTGAATCACATACCGAAGATATTCTTTTTCTCCCTCGAAACAAGATCAGCCGTTGTGCTACAATCGAATCTGTCGCTATCATATCTAGATTTGTTTTCAAATTGATATAAGAAGTTTGAATACGACAAGACGTATATGAAACGCCACTCTAACGTTTTCACCTGTGGATACGAATTAATGCAAAGACTCATTAACGATAATGAGATCTACCATGAAGTGAACGAAGAAATGTTTTGGCATAAGGTCGATAAATGACAAACTACTGTACAACCGATCGACAGTACCTCCTCATAAATGATGACAAATCCCATGTTCTGAAAATCCTAAACCAATAAAAGCCATTAGATATTACTTACAAGTCGTTGCTGAACTGTGAACGATGTGAAGATGTTTTTGGTGGTCCCAAAGTGGTGAGATACAAAGTCTAGAGGGGGGGGGGGGGGGTGAATAGACTTTGTTGCAAATTTAAAAATTTTTCGTTTCTTTTGAAAATGTGAAAATGAGTGTTAATCTAGAGTTCTTGTGAACTTTAGATTGTGTGCGGAATTTGGTGGGTAGAGTGAGCAATAATCAATATGGATGGGTTAGTTTTCACAGTTAATCTAATTGCAAATAAGAATAAAGATAAAAGAGAGAGACACACAAACTTTAACGAGGTTCGAAGGTGGGGTAATCCTTCTACGTCCTCAAAATCCACTATGTAGTTGGTTGTTGAATAATGAACCAACAATTACACTTGTGTGAATTTCTGCACGGTATATCTTTGCAAGGCCAATGTTGCTACTGCACTCGTGCTGGCTTTGTTGTTCCTTCGAAGGTCATGCTTCTTCAACAACTGCAAGGTCCGAACAATAGGACTTGCAAGACCAACTTGTAAGAAAGTTGACCTACCTCCTTTCAATCAATAAGTTTGATCAAAAGTTGCATCCTTCAACGTGGTGTGGTACTTGAGGCAAGGAAACCTTCAAGTATTTACACTATAGCTCTTTGGAAGGAGGAGAAGTTTGCTTATGGATAAGGAGTTTAGAAATCTCTCTTTATCAAGCTTTTTGGGCTAACTGTGAATGAGGTAGCTTTTTTGTGGTTGTTTATCTTATCGTTGTTGTTGTTGTTATCTTCTCCAGTCTTCCAAGGATACTATTTATAGCTGGATTGGATAATCTATCCGTTGAATCAAAATAGACTATCCGTTGCAATTTGTTGGCTTCAATTTTGAATGAAGATTGTGATTTGAAGATTCCTCATTGGAATGGGTGTTTGGACATACCCAATTGTTTAAGGAGGGATTCCTTTTTCCACAGAATCCGTCTTCTATCTGTTGTTCAAGAATTCTGGACTGTAGTACTTTACTCTGTTTGTCTTCTAGTGCTTGTTTAGGAATTCTGGACAGGCTCTTCAATTTTTAGAGGTCCAGACTTTGTCTTCGAGTCATTTGTTCTTGAATCAGCATAATTATCTTCAGTCTAGCCGTTGAAAATCAAGAGATTGATTTTTCCTTACCAACGGGTAGAATTTCTTCATTCAAATAATTTTCTAAGTCTTTTCTCACTTGTCCGCTTTTTGAGAATTCCGGTCTTTTTTGAGGCATCCGGTTCTTAGCTGACAAATCCGGAAGAGTCATACTCAGTCTTCCGGGTGAGAAAGAAATCTGCGCTAGTCTTCCGACTTAGCCTTCGGCGGGTTGTAGCGCGACATGCGGTTCTTATGTAGTCTTCCGGATTGGAGGATTTTCGTCTGCTTTGAGAAATCCTTACTTGTCTTTGACATTTCCGATCAAGATATCCAATTTCCAAATTACTGAATTTGATTAAGTCTTCAGGCATCAAAACCGCTTAATGAAATATCACAACTTTATTGGAAATCTCAAGAACTCGGTTTTAACAATATTTCTAAAAAGAAAAATTACATTGAATATTTGGGGAGACCTAAAGTCCCTATTACATTCTAAATACATCATCATCAGATTCTATAATATTTTTCCCAACAATTTCCCCCTTTTTGATGATGACAAACAAGTGTTTAAGAGTTCCGGTCGCTGTACTGAGAACTAATTTTATAACTTTCTTTTAGTTTCTCGTAATATACATCTTGTTAACAGAAACTCTTAAACAGATACAATTCAAATTACAATTATTCCTAAACCAAGTCTTGTCTTGAGATTTTGTGATATTTTCCACCATTTACCGTTTTCAGCTTCAGCAGAACTTGCTTGGCAGAGCGGTTGGCGTTGCGTTTGATAGATCTTTAATATCCAAAATGGATATTCAAGATCTTGGAAGCAACACATCTCTCAAAATAAGAAGAAAGATAGAGAGAGTGTTGTTCTAGAGAAGGTGTATGGTGTAATCCTGAAAAATACGAGATTTTCACCACAGACCTTCTCTACTGCCGAGATTCTCACCATAGACCTTGAAAGTCTTTTCTTCTCATTAGGCTTCTTCCATTGCCGTCTATGAGGGTGAGAAAGAAAAGTTTCTCCATTGAGGATATTTTTCTTGGTGTGTTTCTCAGACAGTGAGTTTGAAGACTTTTCATATTAAAAGAGTTGTTTGTGATAGGAATGGATTGGGATGTCTTGATTTAAATAAGAGAGGAGGTAGAGAGAGGGGAGGTTCACGGGTTCCATTAATTGGGTAGATGGAACGGTGAGAGTAAAAGAGTTTCAACTTCCAAGAAGTTGAAAAGTGGAAGGAATCTTTTACCAATTACCAATGAATTGAAACTTTTCCAATTTGAAAATCAGTTTCGTTTGGTTTGAGAACCGTAACTGTTTTAGTTTGGCTAAGCCCAAAAGAGTGGCCCAAAAAGAAAAGAAAGCTATGTACTTAAGGGAAATTATTCCTATTGGGTTCTCAAGGCCCAAAATAAAACTATCATTTTTCATTCCCTATAGTTCTAATTTCTACTTAGGACGAGGTAGTACCAAAACAAATATGAATTTTATTTTTAAAAGAAAAGTGGTACTATTTTTCCAAAGTCCTGTATATGTAAAAATCCTAAGGATCAGTACTTTTAGAGCTTGTTGGAAATGAATTAAGGACTGAAGCTTAGTTTAAGAAGGCAGATTTTGTAAAGTACCTGAATCGGAGATTTCCAATTTTAGTACCAAAACTGAGATATCCGTCTTTCATTGCTTAGAGCTCATCAATAATTCATTGCCAAAAACAATTGTTAGCCAAAAACTAGTTAAGTTCCCCCTGAATGTATGCGCTAGGAATAAATCTCAAAATCATACTTGAAATAGGCAAAATCAAGCATAGTAAGCACAATTAAGAGAAATATTAAAGCAATGTTTAAACCAATCAAGCAATGTTTAAACAAGAAGGTGTTTTCATCAAAGCAAATTAATGTTTTCACATACTTTCCCCCTGGTTTGATGAAAAAAAACCTTTAGTGCTTCTTGCGCTTTGAAGATCCAGCAATCTCCCTGATGCCTTGCATGTTTCCACATAGTTCTTTGATGCGCCTTATGTTGTTGCGTCTCTCCTCTGTTTGGTTTTCATTTGAGAAGTGAGCAGCAATTGTTCCTACAGCCTCTGTTCCATCCAATCCTGAGTTGGATAGGTGCTGTGTTGAGTTTTCCGGATTACTTCTCTGAGCGTCAAGGATTAGATCAGTCAAGTTCAGATGCGTAGGAATATAAGAGACTTCTCTTTCTTTGACTGCAATAGGGAGCTCTGGAATCAAGGATGGACTGTGTTGTTGAAGAACCACTTCCATCTTGCGATTTCCAGAATTTGTGGTAAGAAGTCTGAATAGTTTGTGTGCTTCCTTCTGATTGTCAATTATTACCTTCAAGTAGTCTTTGGTTACTACTTGATTTGCTGAAGACACTGCCAGAGGTGCTCTGATGTCCATTTGGAGAAGAGACATTTGTTTTTGTAGACTAACTGTGACATTTGCTATTTGCTCTCTGATTTTGTTAACCTCCTTGAGTTGAAGATAAATGTCAGATGCATATGTCTCCATCGTGTTGCTCACAGTGTTACTCAATAGAGAAATGATCTCTAGAGTCTTATCCACTGACTTGCTTATCTCCTTGAGATTGGAGCAGTGTGTCTCTTCGGATTTCTCAATCAGTTTGTTGTACCTGGCTTCCATCTGCTCTATATCTTGCCTAAAGGAGGCATGTTGAGATGCTAGGGCTGATTCAATCAACCCTTGGACCTTCTTTGTCCAGGTTTCCGGTACCTCATCCGGAAGACTAGAAATAGAAGAGCTATGGAAATGGAAGTTGGTTACCTGATGAGAAGAGGCGAGGTTGGCCCGGGCCTGGGGTTCGGCTGGGCCAGTAGCTGAACGACGCCGTGGCGCGGCAGATGTAGTGGCAGGTCCGGCGTTGTCCGACCGCTTTTTGAAGGTCTGGGTGCTGATCGCCCAAATCTTCGTGGCCTTCGTGAGTAGGCCAACGGTGGTGGTCACCTTGAACCGTTCAAGGATGTCCATCACCACGAACGGGTACGGGAGGAGGTGATCGTGGTCGGTGGATGCGGCAATCGTCATGTTGATCATGACAAACTTCGCCCAATTGATTGGCGCCGAGTACATGATCGCATGGATGAGCTTGAGGTCCTCACCGGACATGATCGTGTGCCCATGCTTCCGAGGCTTGATGATTCGGGACACGATGTAGAGAAGAAGCCAGCTCTCGGGGTTTGCGGAGTGGATGGTGGGGCGGCCCGAGGCATGGCGGATAAGCTCAGTGAGGATAAGGCCCTCTTTGTTGAGCACCCAGTCCTCTCCGCCATATTGGGAGACGTCGTCACCTTGGTAGGGGAGGCCGGCGATGCGGCCAAACTGCTCAACGGAAAGCTCTATCGGCGTGCTCTTAACAAGAGAGTAGAGCACGTCGCCCTCACGCCGGAGGTTGGAGTAGAAGACCCGAATCAGCGCCGAGTTGATCTCCTTCTGAGCCCGGGAGACGAATGGCCAAAGGCTGGCTTGATGAAGCTGCGCGTCGAGGTCGTCGTAGCCCTGCAGCTCCGGGAAGCGCTCCGGGACGATCCGTTGGGGAGCCAAAACCCGTTTAGAGAAGAAAGTGAGAAAGCGGGTGCGCTTCTCCTGGGAATCGAACCAGAGGTACGACCCATCGCCGTATTAGAGGCGTTCCTCGGAGGATGTCGTAGGCGCCCGCAATTTGGACTTTGATTTCCCGGAGGTGGCAGCCCTGCTCTTGTCTTTGCCCATGGTGAAGAAATCTCAAAAGGTTAGAGTAGAGAAGATGAAATATGTAAAGATATTGAAGGAATTTGTGTTTGTATGTGTAAAAGTGAAGAGAGGTGGTCCCAATTTATAGAAAAAGAGGTTCCCAACGGAGTTGAGACAACGCTGTTGAGCCTCCGGACAGCGTTGTTGTGCGTCAAGTTTTAAAAACAAGTGTCAAATGGACAGCGATGTTCCAAAAGTTGCTAGAAATGTGTAAGGGTTTGAACCCATTAGAACAGCGCTGTTGGGTTTCTCTACATCGCTGTTTTACGATTGGAAAGAAAAATTTGTAAAAATGGACATCGATGTTAAAAGTGGGACATCGCTATTTGAAAAGTTTCTGGTTTTGGTTGAAAGACAAGGTGTTTTGGGTGGACATGGATGTTTTTTTAAAATGGCATCGATGTTCAAAAAGTTTCTGGAGAGTGAGGATGAAGGGACTCCCTGTAACAACGATGTTGGCCTGTAGTACAACGCTGTTGGCAAGCTTTCTGGTTGACGGTGTTTCTATCAACAACGCTGTTGGGTCTCCAGGACAGCGCTGTTTGCATGGTTTCCCCTGATTTCATGAATGGGGTACCTGCAAGAAAAAGAAAAAAATTCTCCGATGCTCAAGTTAGTAAACGTTTAATTAGTTTAGATGCACAACTTAGATCATCGTGGAGTCAAGGATTCCGATTTCACTTCGAATGTGGAAGAACGACTCTTTCTCTAAAGGTTTTGTGAAAATATCGGCTAATTGGTTGTGTGTTTCAACAAACTCAATTTCGACATCACCTTTGAGAACATGATCTCTAATGAAATGATGCCTAATGTCAATGCGTTTTGTCCTTGAGTGAAGAACGGGGTTCTTCGTCAAGCTTATGGTGCTAGTATTATCACAATGAAGAGGGACGTGATTGATACTAAGGCCATAGTCCACGAGTTGTTGCTTCATCCAAAGGATTTGAGCAAAACAACTACCGGCGGCTACATATTCCGCTTCGGTTGTGGATAACGCAACACTGACTTGTTTCTTGCTAAACCATGAAACTAAAGAGCTACCAAGTAAGTGACAAGTCCCACTTGTACTTTTACGGTCCAATTTGCAATCGGAAAAGTCCGAGTCGGAATAGCCAACGAGATGACAAGAAGAGCCTTTTGGATACCATAGTCCAACGTTAACCGTGCCGGCAAGGTATTTCATGATCCGTTTTACCGCCGTTAAGTGCGATTCCTTCGGACACGATTGATGTTAGAATAAGTTCCCTTCAGTAGGGGGGGGGGTGAATAGTGAGGCACGAGAATGTTTATAAATTTTCGCGGAATAAAAATCGCAGGGATAAAGTAAAGAGTGGAATAAATAGGAGTAAAGGGAGCACACCAAGATTTATACTGGTTCACCACAACGTGTGGCTAGTCCAGTCTCCCGAGAGACTCTCTCGAGCTACACTACTTCCGTTAAGCATACGGGTGCTTATCAAACCCTTACAACCTGAGAACACGAGTCCCACGAGCCTCAATACACTTGCTCGGAGATATCGCACTCCAAGACTTCAACCCGAAGGAAAATACCTTTCCTTCGTACAACCAAGGGAAACAAGCTTCCCTAAATGTGTTTACAACACTAAGAACACTCAAGAACAAGACTCTCTTTAAGAGTAGATGTTGAGTAAACTATATACGCTCAAGAACAACTCAAACTTCACAAATTGGCTCTAGAAAGCTATGGAAAAGAATGTTGTTTGGATGCAATGATAATATGAATAAAGTGAAGTTAATTGATGTGTAAAGCATACCCAAACACCCCTTTTTATAGTTCCAAAATAGGCTCCAACGGATCAAAACATTTAAAGGGTGATTGGCTTGATTTATGGGATTGATTAAAATGTGGATCTGCAGGATATTGGCTTTCCATCGATGTTTAGACTCACCCATCGCTGGTAAGCCCATTTTCCTTCAGTTTTGAAGCCAACGGTCACCTACCCATCGATGGGTAAATGCTTCCCATCGCTGGGTGGGAGGTTGACTTTCAAACAAGGAAAGAATCAGCCTTAAATGACTCACAACGGTCATGCCTAACCAGCCATGGGTATGCCCTCCCATCGCTGGGTTCCCGTCGATGGGTAAAGGTTCCCGTCGCTGGGTAAGGGCATTCTGCCTTGTGAAAATGTTGGACCAAGGCTTAAACAGCGATGGGTAGAACTTCCCATCGCTGTTTGGCATGGTTCTGGAAATCAGTTGGGCTAAAGGCTGCTTACCCATCGCTGGGTAATATCTCCCATTGCTGGATGGAATGATTCTGGAATCCCGGGATCACTTACCCATGGATGGGTGATATCTACCATCGCTGGGTAAAGGCTAGCCCAAAACCATGGCCTAGCTGACCGGCACTAAAACCCGACCGAAAAATGCAAAGTTCTCCAAAGTAAAAACTAAGTATATAAACACTTATTTAATGTATTGTGATTTCAAAACAAGATTTTTAAGTTGAAAACCACGTCGTTAAGCTAAAAACCACGGTTGACCAAGTCAATGCCATACACGGGTGGTTTTTACCAAAAGACAAAACAGAAAGATGGTTTTCATGATGTTTTGATTGGAGAACCATTTAAATGCATTCAAAAACAATTTCAACACAAAAATACTCGAAAACCACTTCATTTAAGTAAAAACCACGGCTAGCCAAGTTTATGCCGTTTCGCATGGTTTTTATCAAACGACAAAAAACGAAAGGTGGTTTTTGAAGTGTTTTTGATGGAAAACTATTTAAATATTCCGAGAAGTAAAAACCAATCATAAAAAGTTGAAAACCACTTGGTTGGTTCGGACGCCAAAAACCAACGCCGATAACCGAATGCCGAACGCCGGTTTCAGAAAGCCGAACCCCGGATGGCTAGGTTTTTGGTTTGGGCGAACACCAAGTGTTTTTAATATGTTTGAGCATGTTTGAAAATAATTTTGATGATATGTAAGATGCAATAAAAAATGTTTTTGCCTAAAGAGCCAAAATGCAAAGCTTGGGTCGGTCTTGGTCTCTTTTAGCTCTTGTTCTCTTGCTTTCTTCTTATATTTATTTCTCGCCTTGTATATTCAACAACTTGTCTCGTTCACGATGGTTTGGCATTATCAAAACCTGTCATAAAAACGAACACCGCTTTAGTACGAAAAAGCGATAAACCTGTGTTTCAACAATTTCCCCCTTTTTGATAATGGCAAACAAGACGGGGTTATGCATAGGAGGATTGTTTTGAGACTTTGAAAATATTGACACTTTTGAGAGATGTTTCCCCTTAACAAATGCAACAAGGTTTATGTTTTGAACAAGAGTTAATATTTTAAAAAAAATTGTGCCTTAGAGAAAGTTCCCCCTCAATCTACGCATAACCTTTATATCTTCCCCCTTTTGACATTAGCAAAAAGCACTTAAAAATTGTAAAAAAATACTCTTTGAACATTGATGTTTGATACTAAACATCGATGTTTGAAAATGTCCTAGAGCATCAATTGTCAACAATGTCGTAAAATGAGCTTCCCCCTTGATGCGGTTCATTGGGTTTTGTGCTTGGAGCATCCACTACAAGTTTGTAGTCTTCAAGCACACCCTTTTGTGCATCTGGTAATACCATTGAGGTACCCAATAGCTTTTGGGTCCTTGGAGGTTAGGCAAATAAAAATCATAATCATAATTATAAGAAGTGTCCCTACGTTTAGCAAAACAAACGGGAGCTATGTGTCCTATCTTAGAACAATAATTGCATACTACGTTTGGATTATGCATATGCCTAGGTTGAGCCAAAAACTTTCTAGGTGATCTAAAATCATTATTCATAGAATTATTAACTAAATTCCTAGACTCATTTCTAGGTTGTCTCAAAATATTTCTACCATTTGTAAAAATCCTAAAGTCAAGAACCGTGGCCTAGCTGACCGGCACTAAAACCCGACCGAAAAATGCAAAGTTCTCCAAAGTAAAAACTAAGTATATAAAACACTTATTTAATGTATTGTGATGTCAAAACAAGATTTTTAAGTTGAAAACCACGTCGTTAAGCTAAAAACCACGGTTGACCAAGTCAATACCAAACACGGGTGGTTTTTACCAAAAGACAAAACCGAAAGACGGTTTTCATGATGTTTTGATTGGAGAACCATTTAAATGCATTCAAAAACAATTCCCACACAAAAAGACTCGAAAACCACTTCATTTAAGTAAAAACCACGGCTAGCCAAGTTTATGCCGTTTCGCATGGTTTTTATCAAACCACAAAAAACGAAAGGTGGTTTTTGAAGTGTTTTTGATGGAAAACAATTTAAACGTGCCCAGAAGTAAAAACCAATCATAAAAAGTTGAAAACCACTTGGTTGGTTCGGACGCCAAAAACCAACGCCGATAACCGAATGCCGAACGCCGGTTTCCGAAAGCCGAACCCCGGATGGCTTAGTTTTTGGTTTGGGCGAACACCAAGTGTTTTTAATATGTCTGAGCATGTTTGAAAATAATTTTGATGATATGTAAGATGCAATAAAAAATGTTTTTGCCTAAAGAGCCAAAGTGCAAAGCTTGGGTCGGTCTTGATCACATTGTGACCGACTCAACGACGCTAAAGACTACGGTCTTCGTTCTTGGTCTCTTTTAGCTCTTGTTCTCTTGCTTTCTTCTTATATTTATTTTTCGCCTTGTATATTCAACAACTTGTCTCGTTCACGGCGGTTTGGCATTATCAAAATCTGTCATAAAAACGAACACCGCTTTAGTACGAAAAAGCGATAAACCCGTGTTTCAACAATTGATACCTTGCGCAAAGGCATATGCTAAACATGATATCCGGCCTACTAGCGGTAAGATAGGGAAGGGATCCGATCATACCTCGGTACTTTTTGACATCTACTTCCATACCTTTCTCGTCTTTGTCAAGATGGTCAGACGTGCTCATTGGGGTCGCCATGGCTTTGGCATTGTTCATTTCAAATCGTTTTAGGAGCTCCTTGCAATACTTAGCTTGGCAAATGAACGTGCCATCTTTCATTTGCTTGACTTGGAGTCCCAAAAAGAATGTGAGCTCGTCCATCATGGACATTTCAAATTCGCTAGTCATTAGCGTTGAGAATTCCTTGCACAAGGACTCATTAGTAGCACCGAATATAATATCGTCTACATAAACTTGAACCAAAAGGATGTTATTGTTTTTACTCTTGATAAAAAGTGTGGTGTCTACCTTTCCCCTTTGGAAACCACTATCCAAAAGAAATTTACTCAAACGTTCGTACCAAGCACGGGGTGTTTGTTTAAGACCGTAGAGCGCTTTCTTGAGTTTGAAGACATGATCGGGAAATTCAAAGTCTTCAAACCCCAGGGGCTGGTCAACATACACTTCCTCTTGAATAAAACCATCGAGGAAGGCACTCTTAACATCCATTTGATAAAGTTTAAAATCCATAGACGAAGCAAAACAAAGAAGTAAACGAATAGCTTCTAAACATGCTACGGGTGCATAGGTTTCTTCAAAATCAATGCCTTCTTCTTGATTGTAGACTTTAGCTACGAGCCTAGCTTTGTTTCTAGTGATTATTCCATTTTCATCAAGTTTGTTATGGAACACCCATTTCGTACCAATAATCGTACGATCATCGGGCCTTGGCACCAATGTTGGAGTTGTGCCCTGATGGCCAACTGTTTATCATTATTCTATCATGTATAGGCAGATATAATATGTTTACACATCTCATGCTAATGTAAACAAATATTATATTCCAAGATTTATATTTAAAGATGTTTATCAGATAGTGTTATTCTGCTGATGAGACTAACATCTTGAAATAAATATTTATCTAAATGTCCATAGTCGAGTATTAACGAGAGTGGGATATTGTTAATGCATGTGAGACTAGTGTGTGTTGGATGTTTGACTTAGTCTCATAGTCAATGACGGTGTGTTCGCATCCGCACATGGGCAGATATTATCTAGAGATAATAGGATGCCGGACTGACCCATCCTAAAGATGTTGCTTGAATTTTTAGTTCTTGCTCTAAATATCTTTAGCGCGACCATGGGTGTAACTATCCTTCGAGTTGAAGTATTACGTTTTCTGCATATGTGAACCCGCATACTTTGATGCATTGTCCTAATCCATATGAAATAAGGATGGTATACAGGCTTTGTTTTGGGTATGCCGCAGCGCATATTTAGAAACGTAGATTACGTACATAGGATTTGTCACTACTCTTTTTAAGAGATTAATGTCTTATGGGGCCCACTGATAAGTTATGATTGAGGAAATTGCATGGCCATGATGAGATGTTTTTATGACGTCTGTTCCTAACAGTCAGACTTGATAAATCAGTGAATGACTTAATGGATACAAGCTGGATTTTATTAATCCCTTGCATTAAGTTTAGACATTGAGACAAAGGGATACAGTTACACGGAGTCTGAGTCGTGGAAAGGTTTTGACGGTGCAAAGGTCTTAACTTATAATCTGAGCGCAATAATGTGTTGCTAGATACCGCTTATTGCATATAGTATTGATGCAGAGCCAATACTGTGGCCATCTTTATAAGTGCCTATACGGGTCACACACTTTGGACAATTTAAGGAGTAGGATTAAACAATCGGATAATAAGTAAGTTGTATATTTGTAAAAATAGTAAAATAAAATATTTTGGAATATAATATTATATATATATAAATATTCCGTTATATATATATCATATATATGTGCCGATTAATATATATATTATATATTGAATATTTTATTTTGGTTTGTCATTTTAATTATGAAAATAATTAATTTGACATAAACTATTTAAAGTATATTTGTATACTTGTTTAAAATGATATTGGTATTTTTATTTGATTTAAAAATTAATTTTATATTAATTTTTGGTGTCAAATAAAATACACTTTGAACATTTAAGTGGAGAAGAATTTTGAAAATCCTTCTCACAATCACAATCATATTTCTTTCGGCCATGTGATGTTAATGGGGACAAAATTGTTTTGACTTTGCATTTTAAAGATGTAGGAAATTTCCTAATTTGTCATTAAGTGTATGATTGGTTTTTAAAATCCTCTTTAAATAATTATACACTATGTTCATTGTTAAG